AATATTTGTCATTCTTTCTTGCGGTCTTTATGTTTTCCCAGCCCTCTCTCCGTCTCTCTCTGCCTCCCTCTGATACACAGGCATCTGTAGGCACAATGCTTCTGTCACAATGCCAGCCTTGGCAAGGCTGAATATTGTCAATGTCCAGTACAAGCAAATACCCACAATTCTCTCTGTTTCTTGATCACTGCAGAGCTGGTCCCATAGCTGACCCCATAGCTCTTATTAAGCTGAGTTCTGATTGGCTCCTATAGTTTAACAAGTAGAGCTTGACATTAACAAGGTAGTTTCAGATCCCAGTGAGCGCACACAGATTGTAACCCTTTGGATGAAAGTGTCAGATGATGATTTAATGAGCTGCCTTTCACACCAAAATACAGGACAGCCCCTTTGTAAAAAAAGACTGTTTAGCAAAGGGTTTAATTATACATTAAAGCCTGTGTAGCGAACATCACTAGACGTGTAGATGAGGACATGTTAAAGCACACGCCCACACGCATAGGTCACGCAGTACGCCGCATATTAAATCTGACACTCATTAAAGTCCATTTGCCGAATGCCTTTTTCTTCAACGTCATCCTGAACGCTTCCAGGGGAAGCTGAAAGAGCTGTAAGCTGTAATGGAACCATTTCATTCTCAAAGTGTTAAATATCTGCCACAAGGGGGTGCTCCACCCTGGACCTCAAAAGGCCAGAGCCCGTCTGGGTTTACATTTTAATTAATACCCCGCAGATACCTGAGGTGCCAGGTAAGGTCACTTCAGTATGCAAATATCAACCTTAATGAATGTTCAGAGGGGTTAACGAGCAAGCAGAGCAGGACTAAGCTAACTGTGATGACTTAGGCTTCCTGACCTCCCAGACATACCAGTACAGGGCCAGCCCAAGGCAAAAGTGAATTAGACAGCTGCTTAGGGCCCAGCGGCCGCGGTCCTGGTCCTGGGACAGGAAAAGTCACAGTCTGTGTGGGAGGAGCACTGAGTGCCTCCCACATTCACAGAGCCTTGCCCAGGTTTCCACAAGCCCGCCCAGTCCCTCCCCTCATTCCTGGTGTGGGTGGAGTTATTCCTGGTGTGGGTGGAGTTATCAGCCGTGACGGGCGGGGCCTTTCATCCCCACAGCTCCCGGCTGCGCTTCCGGTGACCTGCCATGTTTCTGTGGTTTCTCAGTTCACCTCCTCTCCAAATTGGTCAGGCTCGACTGACTCGTTGAATTTCAAAAGCTTGAAACAGAAGTCTCACTGAAACCCGATTACTTATTTAAGTTCCGTGTTAAACCACATGGCTGCGATGGCAAAATATTACTACTTGTTTCTGATCTCTTATAAATACCCTTTAAATGAATTATATACTTATTATTTTTCTGATGAGTGAATGGTTACACATTTGTGTCCCTTGAACAATTCACCGAGGGATTTATTTTCTCAGTTTGGTTAATTAGATTAAAATCTGCAGCCGGTCCCGCAGTAATGTATTCCGCCGTGTTGTGAGTCACGCGAAGCTTCCAGTAACTGTCTCAGGCAAACCTAATTTAAGAGCTCGGCTGGGGCAGAAGGCAGCACACAGCCGGGGGAGGTAGGCCTGGAAAGCGACGTTTAGCTGCTTGTGAGAGCATGATTACCGTCCTCACATTTGTGCAAGCTGGGAGGTGGAAAGGGGACAGGGCTGCGGTCAGGTGACTGGCTGTCCACAGGGACCTCTCTCTCTCTGTCTCTGACCCTCGCTTGGTATAAGTCTACATGCTCTATTTTGTTTCGCTCCCAGTAATCTGGACCAACAGAACCGTTGAATCTCGCGCTGAGAAACATGGTGCTCTATTTTTTTTCCTCCATCCCTGCCAAAACGGCAACTTTATTTTTGTCTTCCCCTAAAGTCCTGTGCTGACCTGCCCCCACTATGTTCCAGTCTGTCCCCAAAAAGGGGGACTTAAAATAAAGCCCCAGTATGTGTCCATGCCACCTTATCTCTTCACATAATGCCATGTACACATTCCCATCGCTGGCCTTCACATCCTGCGATACTTTTTAACTGCTGATGGGACCCAGTCACTAGTGATGGCCAAATGAAGCTTCATGAACCATTTTCTGTATTTTCTGACCCCACTAGATGGCGCTCTTGGTTTGCTTTGGGGCATGCTTTGAGCCCTTTTTTGAACAGAGAGCACCATCTAGTGGTGCCGAAAAATACAGCAAATGGTTCATGAAGCTTTATTTGGCCATCACTACCAGTCCCGGCTGATTCTTAGCTACCTGCTGTCAGACAGGTGGAGTTCGGTACATTCGCACTTATTCAGCATCCTTAGCTGTCTGATGTTTGAACAGACATGTAAACATCCCCAGTCACGTGGGTGACGTGGTTGTCGCGATTGATCTGAGTGACCTGATGCTGTATCAGGTGACATAGTTGTGGCCTCTAAGGCAGCTTGGTGTCAGCTTCCAGGGCGAGGTCATGTCACCTGTGGGGGGCCAACACTTGTAGTTCTATATGTCCTGGAGCGGTTGTTGGGTGGTAACAACCCTGGATGCAATACCAAAAGGCCGCTGGTTTACATGCTATAGATAAAAAGAGGAAATTGACTCATAATGTCAACCTTCTGTCATGTGATTAATTCATAACTTATGACGAGAGCATCGTGTCCCATCACTAGACTGTACTTCATGACGACAGCCTCTTATCACATGACTAGACTGTACTTCATGACGACAGCCTCGTATCACATGACTAAACTGTACTTCATGATGACAGCTTCATGTCATATGATTGGACCATAACTTATCATCACAGCTTCGTGGCACATGATTAGACTGTGCTCCTTCACACACTGGCATTTATTTCTGTTCTCTCTGCCCCCCATCCCCCCCCCCGTGAGCCCCTGGAGCTGTCCTGTGGACCTGCTGAAATCGCTCGGTGCCGAGACGTTGGAGCTGGAGGCTCTCCCAGCGTCAGGCGGCCTTTTCTCCTGTCAGGAAAGCCCTTCCCAGGTTATTACTCTCATCTTCTGATGGCCGCCTGCCGGAGGCCTTGCAGCTTTGAGTTTTACTGTAGCTTTTTCACAGTTTGGAAATAAAATGCTGCATGGCCCCCTGGAGGAACCTGAGCCTGCAACCTCCCTCCCTCCCTCCCTCCATCCATCATTCATCCATCCACTACTCTCTCTCATTCCCCCTCAGTGATATATGATACCTGACCCCCCTCCCATTTAACACCGTGAGTGATTCCTAATCCCTTTCAACAAAACTCACAAGCAGATGGCTCGTTTTTTTTAAGTACCTTTTCTAAGCAAACAAAGGTGTGAATAAAAAATGGCGTCTCCTTTGTGAACGTGTCCCTGGAGTGTGTGTCGTGGGTGTTACTATCTGTCTGGGGACATTGTAGGTCACAGTTACACACGCAACACGCACACACTGCCGTAAACACGGTCTGGGTAGCCGGGATAGCCATTGGAGGACAGACAGACACACACACACACACACACATTCCACACTTGTGCGCTGAGCCCAGGCCGGTCGCGTCTTCATGACTGAGCTGCGCCGGCTTCTCGGATTGGCTGTCTTGCTCTCAGCAGGACTCGGGTGCTTATGGCTGCTCAGCTGATTAGTGTGTTGCTGGTTGATATGTTGAGGTTGCTGTTGCGTCGACCCGGGCAGGGGGGGGGGGGGGGGTATCGGAGTGACAGTCGAGGGCGCAAATGTGTTTGTGTAAGTGAGGGAATGAGTCACACATTGTGTGTGTGTGTGTGTGTGTGTGTGCGTGCATGTGCATACGCATACGCGTGCGGATTCCCCAGCAGATGTCCTTTGTGATCGCATGCCAGTCGACTGCCATGAGCCCCCCCCCACTCCTAAGGCCCTTCATCACCCCTGACCGCCCTCTTCTTCTCTCCATCTGCACTCCCGCTGTATTATAGGAATGGCCTCCCATGTGACAGAATCGGGACAGCTGATTGGATGGTGGCGGGCTTTCGTTAGAACCCCAGACTTTGCCATTTCGCACTCTAATTCGCCGATGCGTGTCTTTCTGCACTGACGAGCGTCTCTCTGCTCCACTTCCTGTCCACGGGGGAGCTCGGCTTGGAGGTCATGTAGCGCCTCGTTATCCCAAGCAGGGACACCGTGTGCTTCATTACCTGTCTTTGCCTCACCACAGTGCGGCAGGCGGTCACCCGTGATTAGCCGAGGCTTCGCTTCCTGTTCTGAATCTCGTCATTCAATTTCCAGTTCACTTAGCAGCTCGGATAAATACAGTGACTAAGTTTAATGTCACCGTGTGTTTAAATGGCACAGTGGTGGGGTGTTGTTCTGCTAGAGGCCAAGGTGACCCCAGCAACGAATACATCATTTGCTAACAAAGACGGCCTGATGGAAATTGGACTCCATCTGCTTGAATCACCCTGCAGTAGCATTGACTACGTTGCGTCAGGAAGGGTAGCACCTCGGCGTGCCACGGCAGGGTGAAAGGTCAAGATTTGTTAAGGGGGGTGGCTGCCAGGTGTGGTGGCATGATTAGTCAGGCGTATGCCCTTCCTGTGCTACTCCAATAGTCAGCCGGGCTGATGGATTGCAGAGCCGATTTTCATAAGACTCCTGAATCTGTGGGGATGTTTATATGTGTGTGAGGTTGTTCACAGGTAGGAGAAGATCTTTATGGGTATGTGAGGATGTTCACAGGTGTGTGAAGATGTTTATAGGTGTGTCTGAGTATGTTGACAGCAGTGAGAGGATTTTATAGGTACGTGAGAGGGCCTTTGCAGTGTTTGTAGCGAGACTTACAGACAGGTAAAACATCCTCAGTCTGCCACTGGATGTTTTTCAGGCTATAATGAACCCCAGTTATTGAGTTGGTCTTCGCTTTAGATGCTGGAAAGATCTTATTCTACTATTGTGCACAAAGAGACCTGCATAATGAGGCATGGGAGGAGGAGTCAGACTGGGGACAGCAGAGATGCACAGTGCGGCTGGGAGGTCGGAGCCCCGAAGGGCACCAACCAGAGCGACCGTTTTATTCAGTTCGGAAATTCCAAGTTTCATTCTGTCTTGCAATTGGACAAAAAAAGCATATCAAAGATTTCTGTGATGGAATTAATCAGAATCAAATGGAATACTGCCCTACTGCACTTCAGAAATGATCTGCCCTTGCACTTTGCGTTATTCATTACTTCTAAGCTCATTCCCTAAAAAATGGTACTAAAAAAGGCAATGTACAGGTTCAGGAAGGGATCTTTACCCATATCAGTGAAGTGGGACGGGTCTCACAAACCGTGGGTAACTTCATTCAACTCCCGGCAGTACGATGCTTCACCCAGGATGTGGCTCAAGTGAACAGGAGCTGCTGCCACTTCGGCTGGCTTCCTTAAACAGCATAGTGACAGCATCGTGATGCAGATCTGCGGAGAAGATCAGACATAAGGCTCGCTGCGCTGATCTTCCTACCATCTACCTCTTAGCTGTAGACCAGTAGCTGCCACGTTTCCCATTTATCAGCAAAGGCCAAGTTTCTGTTCCTTGTATAAGCATGTATGTCTCTGCATCCATCCAGCCATCCATCTCTGGTACCTTTTCATCCAGTAGGGGAGACAGTGAGCATGGATCTAGTGCCAGGAAGTACGATTCACCAGCCTGGGAACAGGACAATAGTATAAGGGTCTGTATGTCATGTTTGTTTGACATCCTGGTTTTCTTGATAGTGGATGGTTATGGCAATGATGATATTGAAATGGACTAACAGAGAGTGTCACTGGTGATTAAGGCTGGTGTTGCTGCACAGGCTGTTCATACCCCCCACCCCATGATTTCTAGTTCTGTGCTTCTTTTGTTAAGAAGAACATAGCGATTCACCTCAGGGATGTTGGTATTTGTGGAGAGACAGCTGTAATTAGAGAGCTCTGAGGGAAGAGAGGAAGAAAGCGACACACACACACACACACACACACACACCCTCCCCTCAGAAGTGCATACAGAAATGAGGATGCTGTTCCCGGCGGTGATTTGGCCGCAGAGGCTGCTCCTGCGGGAGGTTGCCCATTAGGGTGTCAGGTTGCCTATCAGGGTGTCAGGTTGCCCATCAGGGTGTCAGGTTGCCCATCAGGGTGTCAGGTTGCCCATCAGGGTGACAGGTTGCCCATCAGGGTGTCAGGTTGCCCATCAGGGTGTCATGCTTATGGGTGAGTAGCAGAGAAGGGGAAACCAGTTGAGTAAGAATAATAATTATTAACGTAACAGGAATAATTACTTTTAATGTCAGGCCACACAAGTGTTCGTTTCGTCCCCCTCCCCTGTATTTCTCTCTGTCATACATTCACCCACCACCCCC